TGTCTTTTAAACACCTCCAGGGATGGTGACTCAACCATTTCCCTGGGCTGCCTGTTCCAGGCCTTGACAGCCCTCTGAGTGAAGAAATTTTTGTGAAATCATTTGCAGATGCATCTATCAGCAGACACATGCATCCAAAAAAAAAGGGAATTTACCTCCCTGGGTGCACTCTGACAGATGCCTTGGTATTAGCATAGATCTGGGCAATGATCAATACCACTTTATTGGTCTCAGTGAGGCACATGCTCAAGAAACTCCTGCTTCCAGTTACAGCTGTGCTCTCCACAGCTGTATTCCAGGCAGCATTTTTCATTACCCAAATGAAATGGTAATCTATGACTACATTCCAAAAGAGGTCGTAAAAAGCACTTGAAGTGTTTCAGATCACACAGGGAGGACACCCCTGTTGGTAATTATACAGTAAGTTAATAGAAGCACCAGATTTTTGGATGAAAAAAAGTGAGGAATATTGTTTTGACACTTCCCTACCCAGTACTACTACATGGACCTTCGTATTTGACAGAACTCTCAAAGAGCAGTTACTCACTGCCTACAAAACCACTGCAACTAATTCAGAATTATTTAAAAATGGACAAAGATGTGTAAGGTTTTTAAAGGTAAATTTAGCTGCTCCTGCCTAACCTTGATTACCACTAGCAAATGAAAGGTCAAAGGCTTGCTCAAGGGTACTTGGATCATTTTTGTTTAAAACATTCAATCACTTAATGCCACCAGTGTAGCTCCATGGCATTCATGGCACTGCTGTGGTTAGTATCCCAGCTGGTTATCTTCAACCTAACCAGGTTATCAGAAGTTTATGCTGGTTCAGGGAGCAATGGGACAAGTTCATGGAAAAGAAATCCACTGAAGATCACTAAATCTACAGAAATTACATCCAATACAGGATGTATCTGAAGGAAATTTGCTGACTTGATGTAGCTGGAAGTACTAGGGAGAAATATCTTATTTGTTTGCCCTGTCCTTATTCTTCCAAACCTGTGCTTACAAGCCCAGGAGTAAGTAAGATCCTGCATGGCTGTTCTTCTGTTTTAGTAGGGAAAAAATATCTTGTTATACTCAAAATGAAATTAGATAAGTTTATGAAAAGCATACTATTAAGGACACTTTTTATGAAAAGAATACCCTGGATTTCATGGCCATAGGTTTCTTTCCAGTGCTGTGTTCCCAAGATACTTTATCTACTACTAAATCAAAGGTATTCAAAAGGTAGAAGTTACAGAAGTCTTACTCCCAGAAGAGTCTGTGGGGTTACACAGCAGTGTTTTAACAAATCTACCAAATCTTGAAGACCAGACAAATGTAATAATCAAAGTTGTATGGTTCTCTCTCACACACATAAAAATGCATTTCTAAGTGTTCAGTAACATCAGCAACGTGCACTGTCAAAAAGCCCAATATTTTGACAATCAAATGTTTTGTTCTTTGCTGCAGGAAATGGACCATGAGAATAATCGCTTTCTCGTGTACTTTTGGTTAATGCTTTAAAATCTTCTTTACAGGAGAATGCAGACAAATAGCTTTGGAGGGAGAATTGGGTTACTCTATTAAAACAGTAGAACTTGTAGGTTAAGTAACATTTTCACATGGGATTCTTTTTAAAAGGCCACCCATTTAACCAAGGCCATCTGTCAGCTGTGTCCCTAATAACCCTCGTGCTGGCTGAAAGATTTTTCCCCAGAAAGAAAAAGAGGCTGGTGGAAAGTCAGACCCTGTTGCAATGAAGATAATTCTTCCTGTAGAACAAAAACAGAGAATGAAACAAAGAGAAATTAAACACACTTGGATCCTTTGCAGAGAAAAGCTGGATTTGCAGCTGCTAAGCTTTGGGATCCTGCATGGCTCAGATTCTGCAGGCTTCTTCCTAGTTTGAAATCACTGGGACCTCGGAAGTGGAATATGTGGGATGCCAAAGCATGCCTTGTGTAAAGAAAACTGCAGTCCTGGCATTCCTCCTTGTTCCTATTCTTCCTATTCTGTTAACACCCTGCCTGTCTCACAGGATTGTCACATGGATCAATTTCTATGCACTAGTAAAGATTCTGTGAAGGTGGAGAGGACACCGTGCTAGTATTGGTACTGCTGTCCTGTGGCAAGAGCATGTCCAGCAGGATGCCTCAAAATTTGCTTTCTCCTACCACCAGGATTCTTTCCTGCTTTGTGATTTTTTTACGTCAGTGATGGAGCGACTGCTCTCAGCTGCTGCAGAACAGGGTAAATGCAAACAGGAGCATATGCTTTCCTTTTAGCACAGACAAAAGTGTATCAGCTGAGCTTGAAACACACCCTCCTTGCCACTACCATTAGCAATAACAAGGCATTGATGCTGTTTCCATTTGATTTTTAACTGCTTCCTGAGACAAGCAAAGCACCAGATTAAACCTTATGTTGATAGTAGGGCTAGTTCTGTTTATTTTCCTGTGTTATTACAAATAATGGTGCACCAGCACCCACTCACAAAAGCTGTCAGTAAATTTGAAACAATCTGCTGAATAGCCATGCTTTTCATGAGCTTTTGGCTTAGACCAAACTTGAACCTGTACCTTCAAAAAGAAATCCAGAGGTACTGAGTGATGCAACATCTCCAGGCACCTCTGGTGTGTAATCTGTTACCTTGCGTGGCTTAAACATGGTTTTATCAAGACAAGTAGGGTTTCAGAGATATTTCACTGGTGGATTATCACATAAGAAGTGGTACAGGAGGTGAACAGCTCCTGTAGCCCTGTCACAAAGCATGCAACTTGAAGGAAAAAAAATCAACTTGAACACATCAGAGGAGTCCACTTATGTTACTTTTCCTCAATACGTGGTACTGTACAAATAAACTATCAGCTCCCCTGCTCATTTTAGTAGGTGGTCAAGCACATTGAAAAATCTAGCAGTTGTATCCCTTCTCCTCCCTTAAATGGAGCTATTTATTCCCAACAAAGAGAAGTTTTCCTTGGATTGTCGCTGGCAGTGATTGGTCTGTTCACATACTATTAGATTAATCTGGAAACGTGTTGAGAGACCTCACGTGGCAGATGGGAAATTGCATTTGGGGGGAAAAAGCACTAACACTTTGCACAGAAACTCACATGTAAAAACCTCTGTATCATTATTCATTTCCAGTCAGCTACTTGACTGGAAAAAGCAGAAACAGAGACAATCTTCAGTGTATAAAAGCACAAGTATATTCTAGAAAGGGAACACACTGTGTCGTCACTGTAAATAATCTATAATTCACCTCATGTAGTGCCATAAAAATGTCTTCTGTATCTTTACAGCGTAGCTACTCTGCTGTTTAGGTAATGGAAGTCACTTGAAAACTTGAAATCACTTTGGAAGGCATTTCTGCTTCTTGTAATGGAAGTGAGAGGGCAAGAATACTTGGTACATCACAGCAGTAGTCTGGCATCACAATTAGTAGCCTTATATCATAGGAGATAAAAGAGCTGGGTGTGAGTGGGCACACACCTGCATATATATATATTAAGCATTCATGAAATCACAAAATGAAATATCTGGTTATGAAAAATTAATTAATATTTCACCATGTCTGTTTTCTAGCAATACTATGTGTTACTATAAATCCAGAAGCAGCAAAACAGGACAGTGAACAAAAAGGGTGCATTGAAAGGTGTCTGACAGCACGAAGTTCACCAGAGGAACACTGACAGATAAAGTATGTTGCTTACCTGGTATGCTTTCTTGAGAAAGATAATTGCTGTTGACGATGAAGGTGGTGGTGCTGACTGTGAGAGCTGTGTAGCGTTGCTGTTGGCCACAGGCAGGTGAGGAACAGAAGTTTCATGACCAGGACCATCTCTTCCAAGAGAGAAACACACCTGATCACCCAATCCACCTTGCTGACTTCTTGTTTTCAGTGTTTTTACTGCTTAGCAACAGCATAGCATACAAAAGATGCACGTGAAGCAAGGCATCACTGAAGTGAGACGACAGGGGCATCCCAGTCCTGACGTCCTCGCCGAGTTCCCCTCATACTTTGGCAAATCATAAATATTTCTTCAGCTGCACATCCCCGCAGCATCTGCTGTCAAAACAGAAGCACCTGGTTCTCAGAAACGTGGTAGATCCAGCAGTTTGTTTGAGCAGGCTGCAGTCTGACCCATTGCTTCCACTCCTTCAGCATAGGCGCGTTTTTAAATTCTCCATCACCCGCTCAGTAACCTCTTCCACATCGCCTGTGCAGGCAAAGTGATGTCAAACATTTAATCCCCCTTAAATCCCACACAAAACCATACAAAAATCTGCCTTAATGACAAAGGTCTCTAAATTAATCTTGCTTTATGTATATGTGTGTCTATCTGCTCAGAATCATTTTCTGTGCAGATCAAGCTCTTCTGTTAACTGGCTACATTGCACTGTCTTCCCAACATCATTTCTGTCTCTGTCATCTCCAAGCATTTTATCTGCACATGCAGAACTACTTTTGGACAGAGCAATATCACAGAACAAGTCCAAACTAAAAAATGAAGTCTTGTTTCAATATTCCCTCTCTTTCTTTCTTTTTTTTTTTACTGAGCTCTGCAGCTATTTAATCTATGCTAAATAGAGGTATGTGCATGTCTAAGATCCAGTATCTTCCACCAACCCCAATTTTATCTTTACCTCATTTAGCCTGCCCTCTGACTGTTCAACAGCAGGCTGAATTGCAAAGCATTTTATTAACAAATTGTTGCTTAAGCAATAAATTGTGCATGCCAGCTACAAAAGATGGTAAGATTTCTTCTGGGCAATGCTGGGGACACATCTTCTTAGATGTCAAATTTATCCTTTTCAAGCCATCAGCAAGTTCAGTCATTATCACAATTGATAGCGTATGTTTATTTTTCTTTATTTAGATAATCAGAGATTTGAGACTGAAAGTCTGGGAAATTAAAACACTCAACCTCTGTCTAACAGATAGAGGAGTAATTGGGGTCTCCCAGCAGTAGATTTCTTCCTAAGTAAAACAAACAGAGGAATAAAACTAAGCCCAACACTGTGTCTGCTGAGATTGTTAACACCCAGGCACCCTGGGACAATAATTCTGTGATGTGGGCAACTGCCTCCTCAGGAGTTTCCTGAGATTTCCAACTAACTTCAGCTGAGCCAAGAAATAATTCCCAGATGTAAATTACTTCCACATGGAGGTTACCAATTGACAGCTAATTCCCACTGGTTTTTTCCATTTGGAGTTGAACAGCTATCTGCCTGTAACTTAAAAAAACATGGAGGGGGGGAAAGAAGTTCCTTCCCAACCATCCATAAAACTTTAACCGTGTTAGATTGAGTTTGGTGGCCTAGATCAATGGCTTTCAACCCTATAATCCATCTCATTCAACTGTTCATTGTTTAATCCTTTCCTGCTCAGCAAACTTAGGGAAGATCACTTGTAGCCTGACCTAGGGATAGTCAGATAGTTCTTCCAGCAGATCTTGTGTATTCCCAGGAGGGAGTTTTTAGACAAGGTAGACACAACCTGTAGTTAATAAGACCTTTAACAAACTTTTAATCATTATCATTTGAATGGAAAAGGGAAAATAAACAATAACTCTAATGAGAATTTATTCCAGGAGGAGATAATACGAGTTCCTGAGCCAGTCTGGTTAAGTTCCCTAGTCTCACCCAGCCTACATATATCAAAGTGTCAGACCATTGATTAAATTACCTACAAGAAAAAACCAAAAGCCTTTGGATCCTGTTCTTTCCCCACCCAAGCACAGGTCCAACAGTAGCTGAGGTTATCCACCAAGAGCTCTGAAGGGGTCTCTGGTTAGATCACGTCATGCTACTGCAGAAATTTTGTGTACTGACCTCAAGGAAGTCAAAGGAGTCCATTAAAAACAAGTAAGGAAAAAAAATTGCTTTGTGAATGTATTTCCCAACTGGAAAAGCGGGTGCTTAGAACCCCTGCTCCAGAAAAATGCAAAATGCATATGCAGAATGACTGGCACACCTCTGGCCAAGCTGCATATGGATGTCTCTCCCTCCAGAAGAGGGGAGCCTTTAGCAGAGAAAGAGGCAATCAGCTGCTGTTTTCATTCAGCTCTCGGCACCCTGCTGTTTTATTACTCCCGGCTGTAGCAAGAACTGTGGTGCTGAAAAGACTGCTCCGTGGAGGGTTTCCAAAACATGCTGAATGCTCCTTTGACTGCCCCTGCTAAAACCAGCTTTACTGAAAAAAAAAAGAAGGGGCTTGGGTGCACTGACACATTCCACACCTTCACGAGGTTGATGCCATAAATACACCCTGAGGGTCCTTGCCTAAGCACACTGAAAATCTAAGCACTACCCCTCTGTCCTTGACTGTGGTATGTTTCCAGAAACGGTCCGGCCCACACACGTGGAGTCCTCAGGACGGATTCCTGCAGAAGGGAATGGCAAACACTTCCACTGACCAGCGGGAATATCAGTGAGGGCAACTCGCTGTCACCCACGGCGACGGGGTTTCTTCATGCTAGAGCTGTTTTCTTTTCCTCGGGGCAAGGGAGCATTACACAGAGAAGATTATAATATCACTATAAATTGCCATTAAGAAAACAGGTTAATCTCCTAGGCATTTGTTGGTAATAAATTCTAAGAAGATCCATCTTTGCAGAAGAATAAAGACAAGGTAATATACTTTGCTTGTGCTGGGTGAGTCGCTGATTGGTTCTTGTGTTTAAACACAGAGCATTTTCTCTTTGCTATCAGTAAAATATTTCTTTAAAATTATCCCTTCTCTGCAGCCCATGAAGAATTTGCAGTGCTTGTCTTTCCAGGACAAAACCCAGCAGAGGGTGCATAAGCTCACTGGAACAGTTTACAAACAAGCAGGGAAAGAAAAGAAACAAAGGTGAATAAACCACCTGATATCAAAAAAATGAGATGCCTTCTTTTAAGTCAGCAAAATAAAACATTGCTTCTGGTAACTGCAATCTGGAATTACCGACCCCTCTCCACCACAGATCACGAGGCAAAGCAAATTGACAACAGCTATTATAAAAATGAAAACAGAAGAATGCCAGGGATGAAGAGACGTTTCAGAGGCTGGAATTTTGCAGGAAATCTGATCACACCTAAAGGCCACTTTAAACACATGGAGCTGAAACACCACAGCACACCAGCACTTACCAACCTGTAAATTAGCTGCAGTGAGAAGAGATGCCAAGTGGAATAGGTAGTGTGGGTTTAAATGGCAGGTCATTTTTTATTCTCCTAATCAGAGAATGAAACACAAGGAAGAAAAACCTCATTAATAAGAGTCTCATAGGAGGCACTCACTTCTGATAAACAACCAGCAAATCACAGAAAGCAGATTAACCAGAGCTGTGTCTGTGAGAGTGTGAATGCAACACCACAGCACAGGAATAGGCAGCATTTTGCTTTTCTATGGTAACAGGCTTGGTATATAAATGGTAACTTACCATTTATATCGTGGTGACTTGCAAAATTAATGTCAGAATTAAGGACAGTTTGTCCCGCTTATATTAATGCAAATGACAAACCAAGTTCCCAGAATAAGGTATCTGTTCACATTTCCTAACAGGATGAAGTGGGAAGGAAAGCAGACACTTGATTCCATATTTGAGTAAGCACATCATATATTTCTGATAAATGCTTAGTTATACTGTTTAAAAAAAAAATCCTGAATGTTTTTCTTTTCCCTTTTACAGGACATATTTTTTTGTGGTCCAAGTACGAATTCCCTGTGAAATCATGGGTTTGGACTTACTGTTTCTTGTATTTTCTTAATACCTCACTGTCTGTGGCATTCTCATATCATCAAAGGGAGCATTCCTGATATGAGACAAACACTGCTGTGAAGGAAACCAAAAATCCAAGCATTACAGATGCACAGTCCCCACCTGCAGTGGGCTCATCACATCACCTGGATCCAGACTGAGCCCAGGAGTTTGGTCCTGGTTCTGATGCCTTGGGAAGTCTGGCTCGACTCTAAACTGCTTTAGTGTGTTGAACACACAGTCTTGAACATGTTTTCCAAAGAAATTCTCTGTTCTGACAGCTTCTCCAGCCATGGATCTGAGGCTATTCCTCTTTTTGAACCCCCTCAATCATTCCCATTAGTAGTAAAGTTAAATCTCAGACTTGTAATCTAAACTCTAAAGCAAAACTGGGAAGTAATGTGAATTCAGAAACCCCTGCAAGAAATGCAAAGTATCTGGCATCCAGTTGGCTTCATTAGCAACTGAGTGGCCAACATATCTTAAAATCAGCACTCTGAAAACCATACACAGCTGACAAGAGATCAAAACTCCAGAAATCAAATGTAACTTCAGTGGTCTGCCTTTTCTTCTCATTACAGAACAACTGTTTGTTATTTTTCATTAAAGTGCTGCACATTTTTGTACAATCAGATATTTGGGTGGAAAAAGTGTCATCTATAACAAAGAAAAGCCACACTCTTCTCCAATTATTTGCATTCCCTACTTCCAGAGCTTTTAAGTCGGGGATTCTTTCCCTTTCATCATTCTTCCCCCGACAGAACAATCACTGAATTAATTTCATCCCTTAATCCCTTTACTTAGGTTCTGCAGCAACAATTCTGAAAGTAAAACAATCAGTTTTACTGCCTCTAGTTAAGGAACAGCTGCATCTTTAGGGTGATCTCTGGCAAAACAAGCAGCCACATTTTTTACAGATTTACACTTCTCATAACCTCAGGGGCAGAAAACTTTGCCTTTCTGCCACCTCATGTTGACCACAGGCATGGGATACAGCACCCTACTCCTGCATTTATGTCCATCTTTTCCCAGGAGGAGTTACTACTGTTTGCTTCTTTATCTTTGTAGGATATATTTCTTTAAAAAAATGTTGGCCTCTCTCCCCAGAGAGGGAAGATCAAGGGGATGACCCATAAGCCCGAGCAATTCACAGTAAGACCATGGTGTATCCCCAGAAAGTAAGCTAGTTTGCCATACTGTGCTTCAATCCAAAAAGCAATATATACTGCATGAGATTATTTTTTTCCTTATTTCCTTGGCAGTCTGGCAAGTTGAGTGGTCTCTCAGCAGTGCTTACCAGCCAGATCCTAACTGCTACCTGAAGTTCTTTTGGCTCATTTCCCTCCACAGATTGAAACAAAACAATCCAGCAACTGTGTTTACTCTTTTCTTGCTGCCACACTGATGCTTATTAAGCACTTCCTGCAGTGTGCCCAGTTTGCTGTCCAGAAGTCAACAATATCTCCGATGGGAACTAATTTATGAAATGTATTGCATCTCTACAAAGCTCCTGTTCTGTCATCAATGAACATGAAGAGAAAAAAAAATGTTGAATAGTGAGGGAAAAAAAAAAGTGCCTTTCAGCTTTGGCACTGCAAACTTTTTTCATCTTGCAGTCAAAACAGAGACAGATTTATTGATTAAAGTCTAATCTCTATTGGTCACAAAACAGCTTCAGAAGCCATCAGGCACAACTCTCTGTGGCTGTTTTCCAGGCTTTTCTTTCCCATTGATATCTTCCAGAGAAACATATGTTAACATCACAGAGCAGGTGCTCATTTCAAACTGGAAAGCCAATTTTAACTACGTGAATTGTACACTAAAGTAAATATATATTTAAGTTTTATAGATTTAACACTTCTAGAGGGTGTTCATGTTTGGGACTTCTAAGGTTTCACAACTTCTGCTTTCCTAGTAGCTGACAAAAGAATGTATTCCTAAATCAATAAACATCTAAACAATTTGCATCAACAAAATCTTGAAGGAGAGGAAAGCAAGGTGAATGGCAGCAGCAATAAAGGTTGGTGGGAAATTTGCTCACAGAATCACAGAATGGTTTGGGTTGGAAGAGATCTTAAAGATCACCAAGTTCCAACCTCCCTGCCATGGGCAGGGACACCTTCCACTAGACCAGGTTGCTCAGAGCCCCATCCAACCTGGCCTTGGACACTTCCAGGGATGGGGCATCCACAGCCTCTCTGGGCAACCTGTTCCAGTGCCTCACCACCCTCACAGGGAAGAATTTCTTCTGAAAGCTTTATCACTTCTGTTCATTATTTCACTGTTAACGTAAAGATAACGCCATTCAAATATTTGGTCTGGGAGATACAACGCAGGTATCAGGGCTATGCCACGTTCCATATGTAAAAAGATATGTAAAGCATAGCTGAGATCACCAGGAAAATGAAGCCACCTTCACTCCAAGATCACCGTGCTGTGCTGCCCTCAGCGCAGAAATCCTGATCCAGTAAATTGCCTTCAGGCACAGGAAAAGCTGTGGGGGATCCCAGAACCTGTGTACCTGGTTTCTGTAAGACAAAACAAGCACGCAGAGAAATCCAAAGCCACAGGTCTTCCAGCTCTGCCTCCTCCTCGCCCCTGGGTGCCTGACACGGGACTCAAGGCAGACCAACTCTCCTTTCCTCCCACTTTTATTTTTGCGGGGGAAAAAAGCCCAAAACCCAACAAACAAACGAACAAAAACCCAAAACAAAACAAATCTTAAAAAAAAACCCCAAAAAACCACAGACAACCCAGGGTTGCTGGGTTGACTATTTCACTAAACTCCTTCCCCATCCTCGAAACATCCTGGGGGAACCACAGGTATTTCCCCCTGCCCGTTCCCAGCGATGCCCTCAGGCAGCGCCTTCCCGGCCGCTCCCACCGAGCGCCGCGAGATGGCAGCGCCGGCCGCCGCCGCCGCCCCGCCCGCCCGCAAGTGCCTATCCCCCGTCTGCCGGGAGCCGCCAACCTTTAACCATTCTGTGATTCTGTGAGCACAATCAGCTGCCCTGCCCTTCCCCTCCCGCGGCTGCGGTGGGGAAGACGGTGAGAGGGCGAGAAGGGCTGGGGAGGCGGGGAAGGAGAGAAAATGGCCGCCGCTGGTGGGGAGGGAGGGCGGTCCGTCAGCGCACCTGAGGGAGAGGGGCTGCGCGTGGAGGAGCGTGTGGGGCAAAAGACCAGCGGGCGGGAAGTATAAGGTGAGAAAAAGAGAAGGGGGCAGCAACAAGGGAAAACAAAAAATGTGCTTGTGAGGCTGGCCAAACGTCCAAGACCATCCAAGGGGACTCACGAGTCCGTATCCAGCAGCCTTGTATTTTCCAGCGGGCTTCAGCCACACCTCGTCCAGAGCAGCTTCCCTGACATTCCGTACAGAGACTGGCTTCCAACCCCTTAGCGTGCGGATAAAATAGGCTCTGGTGGCTGTAATTTAATTTTAATCCCTTCACTAGTTCTTGGTGTATTTTATGATGCAAGAGAACATTAGAAGTAATGAAAAACTGAAATAAAGGTAGAAGCTTCAGAAAGTATGACAGAAGTGGTAGGGGAACAGATGGGCTCTGGTCGGGCTGATCGGAAATGGGAACACTAGAAAAAGGTGAAGGCGTTGATTAGTAAGAAATGAGCACACTCCCTCACAAATAATTTAAGTATGGTAATAGCCTAATTACCTTATGTACATTAAGAATGTTTTAGTTTGTGATAGTACACAGGAGAGGTCTGCTCAAAAATGGTGTTCCTGGCTGCAGCCTGAAGCAGGGAGCTCCACATCCTCCTTACCCAGCCCAGGGATAAATATTCCCTTTATTTGTTCTGAACGTGCCACTGCCACCATCTCTTACTGCCATTCTTTGCACATTTGTTTCGATCCTTATTTAGTTGTGGTTGCTGGCCTTGAACATCTTAAGTAAAATAATTTAATCTGTTGACTGCAAGAGGCCCAAATTTCTCTGAATCCTTGTAATTCACGTTCCACATAAAGCGACCCAGGCCCCAGTCCGGATTCCTGTTTGTTGCCATCAGGCTCGAGCACATCCTCAGTTGTATAACCTGACACAGACGGAGTGTCCTAGTATCGTATGGCCCCTGCCAGGTTACATAAGGTGACACACCATCTGCACTGACATCTGTGACCTGACGCAGGTGGTATCACTCTGTAGCACTTTTTAAGAAGGGGAAGAGGCTCCTTACATCCAACGTCCTTTTTTTCACTTTTAATCTTGATCACGTTAGCACAAGGCATTCCTGGTGACTCAGCAGCGGCCTTCATCTGTCACCAATATTAGCAGGAGTGTCAGGATATATATGGTGGAAATAAACATCACAGATTTGCTGATGTGGAAGTAATATGAGGGCCAACATCAGAGGCACTTTGCCCCCAAAACTTCAAAAGTTGTCAAGAGTGAAAATTCAGGATGACTTGAAGACTTGAAGATAAGTGATTTTAAATAGCAGATATGAAATGCTGTTTTGCTTGCCTTCTACTTCATTAGTCTTGAGTGATCACATTTAAAAGCTTTCCAATAACAAGAGTAAACAAAGCTTTGTTTTACAGAGAATGTAGGTTTGTCAAGTATTATGTTACAGCCTGTTCTAGACCCACAGTGTTCAGAAACATGGAATGGAAGGGAAGGTGATATATATTGCTTTGAGGGTCACCACAGTGTGTGGAGTCCAAGAATATGAAGAAAAATAAAAAAGAATTATGCTTGGGAAATTCGGAGACACTCCAACACCCTGAGATGGCAGGAGTATGATTAATCCTGTGTGGATGGAGGAATGTATGTGCTAACTCTGGCTGAGACATTTCCAGAAGTATGAGCTGAGACTTGACCTTGAGTCCTAGTCAGAAATAAGGTTAATTTGTAGGGGCACTGGCTTTATGCCCCTTATTGAATAAACACTGAGATGAATAAAACCTGTAGCAAAGTACTAGGTCTCACAGGCCCGGGGATTCAGCATCTAAGAATCCTCTCCAATATTTTTGAAGTGGAATTTTTTTCTTTCTGTAACAAAGGAGCTTCGCTCAGCAGAGGGAGGACAACGTGCAGCTGTTATCAGTGTAACTCACAAGGGCTGGATCGTGCCTGGAGAGCGTGACCCTCCCACAGCAGGAGATATCACTCAGGCCCAGGGCAGGCAGAGTCTCCAACACACCCAGAGGTACAGTCAGCAGCCTCAATCAACACCCCACAGCTCCCAGCCCCGTCAGCTGCTCACAGACACACCACATGTACATGCACTGCTGGGATTATTGGGGGTGTGGGTGCCTCCCACCAATGGCGACAGGGAGGGATTTTATTCCTAGGTGTTTTTTAAAAAAAAAAACACAAAAATTGCACTGCAAATACATGTGAGAGCATCCCCGTCTGCATCATGTGAGTCTCATCCCACTGCATCTGAGAGAGAAGCTCAGGGCTCCATTTCACAATTTGTGAAATGTCAGGGAAAAAGAAACTGATTCCGGTTGTGTCACTGAAAAATTATTTCTCTCTTTTCTGCTTTTCACAATGCTTCTTTTACCTCTTTGCTTTTCAGGCTGCAGATCAAGGTTTCCATCAACAGAGAAAAGGATGGTGTAGAGAGCCCAGCATATCACGATTCAGTGCAACAGAGAGACAGGGTCAGTTATTAAACCATCGTCAGCCTGCAGGGTTTTCAGCATTTGGTAAGGAAAGCTGTTGGAAAACTACTTTCTCTCCTGTAGCATTTAAGTGAACATACATACTTTTGTATTTTTTAGCATATTTGTAGTTGAGGCCATTGAGCAAACACCCACTGCGTGGTGTCCCTACAGATTCTGGCCCGTCTGTGTCAGTTCCCTGATGCTGCAGGATCTTAACTCCATAACCTGTATAAAACCAGTACAAAAATATATATAAGTACAAATATTACTACTACAGTAGGAGTGAGGTAGTCAGCTGTATCACTACTGCTAAATACTTTTCCTTACTAAACACTAGGTCAGCAGAGCTCTGATATGCAGCCTTATCTATAAGGAAAATGTAGGGATTATAAAGTTTGTACCTCGTCACCAAGAGTCAACCTGAAAGTACAACTATGCAAATTGAAGTAAAAAGGAGTCATGAAGCTTGACATCCACTGGCAATGATTCACACTTTTGTTTACACTTCGAAAATCCTCTTTGCCTTAAATTTTCTCTTGGGGACATGTGTTTTTACAGGACAATTTCTCACTTCTTCTCCTGCCCAGAACACAGCTAGTCAAGCAAAGGCTGTAACTCTCAGCAAACCTTCCCAAGTATATAAAAGGATTAGGTAAGGGTGTTATTATTGGGTTTGTCATTTCTGGAAATAATGCATCTTCATTACACTGGAATATCATACTTTTTCTAAGATCTTACACAAGGCAAAGAGTTGATTTCTACCATGATGCAGGTAAGAGAATTCAAATTTAAATGGGAAGTATAGGTCAGGATGGAACAACAGTCATGCTGAAGTAAAAGCTCATGAATCATCTCCAGTGTGTCTTACACAGTGTCAAAGCATTTTTTTTTAATATGAAGACATAGTATTTGTTATTCATGCAAAAATTCCAGATAGAAACAAGGGATTGCCAAAAATCCATTTTACCCTTTCTGGTGGTGGTGGGAGACTTTATAATGCTCTAAAAGGACCATCCAGTGTCTTGGCCACTGGCTTTCATTTCACAACAAATGTAATATTCCACTTCCTCCATTTTAGGTAGCCCAGTGTTTTGAGTAAGAGACTGTAAGGAGAAAGGGAAGAGAACAAATGCAAACACACCTCATCTGAATAGCTCCATAGCCCAGCAGAATGAAATATGTCAGGCCAAACCCAATTCCTGTTTTCTTCATTACTGAGTTTTAGAGGTAAAACACAATGGTTTGTGATTTTTATTGGATTAGAAGGCAAGTGATTTTCTATATGTTCTCAAAGCCCCTTGAATATATTTTAAAAAAAATTTTAATAAAAATTAGTCTTTTTTAATATAGGCAAGTTTCAAAAGACTTAAGTAAAAGAACAGCAGCAGATGGAGATCCTGGGGATGGATACTAAAATATTACAAACTCCATCCCAAAAGAACACGTAGTATAAGGCAGAGTCTTTAAATGATAGCGCAGCCCTTCACCATCACTTGCAGGCACAGGAAATTAAAGAGCTGGAATTGAAGCTGACAGGCAGAGCCAAGCATAGAGCTGTCTGCAGCAGGTTATTTCCTCGGTGTCATTGCCTGCAGACTCCTGTGATCCATCCATCTATGGATCTGCTGCCGGCTCACGACCTGGAGCTGCTTTGATGCTGCAGACCCCGAAAAGCAGGGATTCACGAGCGGTCTGCCAGCAAGGCTGGTTTCCAGGAGCAGCCTGGCAGCTCGGGCAGGGCGGTGGGAACGAGCTGCCATCGTGGCTGCTGCAGCTTCTGGGACAGCTTTAGTGTCTCACGGAAGCGAGACCAGGCAGAAATTGTTGGCCGTTCTTTACAATAATCTGCAAAGGGGAAACTGATTTCCCTCTTCTTGCAATATCCTCCTCTCTGCTGTCGTCAAAGAAAATACTTTGCCGGAGCACAACTCGCGCGGTTGCTTCCTAATCCCTGTCCGAGAGCCGCCAGGCTGTGGGGACGGGCAGGGAGGGGACCACAGCTCCCTTCCCTCAGCACCCTGTGTGGAGCTAAGCCACGCTGCTGTCTCTGCCAGGCAGGGCTCACAGGCATCTCCCCAGCGTGGAGGACCGTGGGGAGCCCAGCAGCAGTGAGGGGAGGAGGAAGGAGGACCCACCATCAAATGGACACTTCACGTGTTAAACTTGGCTCAGAGCTGAAGGCAACACACTCATAACAAGTTTGCCTCAGTCTGGCATCTAGACTAAAATTAATCAAATATCTGCTTGTATCTCATTTTATGCCTCCAGCAAGATTAAAAAAGAGTTACAGAAAGGCACTTTTACATTTACTCAAAACCAGAAAATACAGTTTTCATGGAAAGGAAAAGCCTTTCTGGAGACTGAACTGGGCTGATGGAAGAGGTTGTTCTCAAAAGTTTCTGATATGAAGGGGTTTCCGCCATGAAATGAGCTGTTAAATAAATACCCATCAAAATACCAACACTTTTTTTAAAGCTACCTGGCTCTAGGGCTTAAAAAAAAAAAAGGATAAAGTGGTGATGTTCTACCACAGATACCTGTTCATCTGTGAAGGATGATAAGGGAAAAACATCTCTCAAAAGCTAAACTTCTCCTGATGGTTCTCCTCATAAATGAAGGACTCTGTTTCATTCAGAATTTTTCCTAAATTTAGGCTGGCCTGAAACCAAGACACAATTTCTCCACTGATTTAATGAGATTTGCTGCCAATTAATAGCACAGCGTAGCCAATGAGCATTGAGAAGTCTGAGACACAGTTCCCTGGAATTCTTCAGACTCCATGGTCGTGCAAACACCCCAGAACAACTCAAGTGTCCCCTGCAAGCTCTTGGTTCCAGAGGATTTAAGAGCTGGAAGTGTGGGTGAAAACCTAGGGATGTTTATGTTGTCTCTTTAGGAATCACACTGATTACAAGTAAGTTTAAAAGTGCGTTCTATTTTTGAATTAGAATTTTGATGCTGGGTATTGCCTCGATCCTCATGTCTTTTCCAGTGGGCTGGGGCTGCCCAAGACCACTTGCTCCAGCAGCACTTTCTCCTCCTCAGAACCTTGGAGGAGTCTCTGGGACAACCCTCTGACCAGACATGCTGATATAAAGCTGCCATTCCACTCTTGCTTGAATCTCAGCAGTTCTCTCTCCTGGTCCCACAGAAGAGCATTACTACTAATAAAAAAAAAAAAAACAAACACATAATTGACCCAGGCAGGCTCAGAAAAGCTTGGATGTTTGGACAAAACTCACAGGAGGAGGATTACACGGATACTCTGCAGCTGGAACCGGGCAGCCAGAAGTGATGAGCCAGCACAGCAGAAGGGTTGAGCAGGGATCACCAGCTCAAATGCAAGGTACAACAGGATGGAGAAAGTGAGTATGTGTCTGCTTGGTACCTGCCATAGTCAGTGTGGGGGTCCAGGAGAGGCAGAATTTGAGAGAGAGAGGAACACTGTAGGCAAACCGTTGGAATTGGCAGCTGCTTTGCACAGATCACTTCTGAGAACATTTTAATTCCCTGGTTTTACGAAACGCATTTCCCCTTCCTTTGTTGCGCACGTTGTTACACCCAGCAGCCCTGACAGCTCCCGTGTGAGCGAGCGTGGGGGGCTATTGCTCATTCCGAGCCATATGCTTCTGTCAGATGTTTACTTGCACGAGTGACAAGTCGTTCTGAGCCTTTGAAAAGCTACGGGAGGCATCGCTGTTCCCCACTCCCACCTCATTCCTGCAGCCACAGCCCGTGCTGCAGGCAAGGAGCAGGCGGATCGCAGGCAGGCAGGGAGAAGGGACGAGACTCACAGCACAAGCAGATGTGGGCCATGGAGCAGCCCCCCTAAACTGGGAAGGATGATATCCTGGAAGTAACATAACCCCTCAGCAGTTACAGAAGCACCAGTCACTCCAGAGAAGATGATGTTCCTTTCTGTGAAGGAAAAGCTAGCGAGGAAAAGGAGAGCGGTGAGTGCCTGGCACTTCTGCTGCTGCTGCTCTCTGTTGAAGTATCAAAGGCTTTTTAAAACCTCTGCAGTTAAGATCTTGTATCCCCTTAGTGCCATTATCCCTAGGTGCAGTGAGGCAAATTAAGTTTAAAGGTAATACTTCCATTTTCTCTGTGTTTTCTTTTAAAGAGTAAAGGCCCTATATAACTAAATATATTAAAATATACTTCTAATGTCCAGGTTACTTACTGGCAAGTTTGGATGCCCACAAGACCTTAAAACAAAGAAATTCTGTGCCACGAGCAGACAAGGGAAGAAGTGCTCCTCAGAGAGAAGCTGATGAAAGGGACAGCTGTAATATAAAAATTTGAAGGCTCTCACAGAATGAGATGTTCACTTTGGGGCATGTCCTTGGCACAAGCTCTATTGGTGATAGTGTTTCTTTTCTAAGATGTGCTTAACTCCTGAAAAGAGTCTTGGAAGCTCTTATTTGATCAAAGACTGGTCTTACCCAGCAGCATCACCATGAAAAAGAGGAAGAATTTCTACTCCTTCTAAGGAAAACCACAGGTTTTTGCTTTTCTTTGTCATGAAGAGCAGGTGGAGGTTACAGTATCTTAAGTGGTTTGGGGGGTGATGGAAGGTGGAATAGATCCCTCTGACAGTCTGGTCATCCCAGTGCCTGTACATTAGAATACTGCTAAATGTTATTGAAATCCAGTAAAGCAGATATTTTCTAGCAATTTATGATCTGGTAGATGTTGCTCTCAGCTTTCAGGAAATTCCGTTTTCTACAGATATATCAGCTATGCTAAGAGCTTTGTCTTTACGACACCTCAGGGAAAGGTAATCCATTTTGCATCTTCTTAAGCTGTCCCTCTGCCTTTCCATGTCCTAGTGTTCTCTCCATGATTTTACACCGCTTTATCTTCTTTGCTTACAAGTGCTCTACTTCTCTAATCTTGGAAAAGATTGCCCTTCCTTACACTCTACCTTTCTGACTTTCAGTAAATTGGCTGGTGACTCCATGACAACAGAATTGATCATCTCTCCTCAAGCTGTCTCCACAGGTCACAGGCAATCTGTCTGTTTGTGGGACCTTGTCTTCCCCGACAGCTCAGGTCCTGGTTATCCTGCAGTGCTCTTAGACAGTGACTGCTGAGCGAAAGGAGACATTTCTGGTGCTGTTGTACCTGATTGTTCTGCCACTTCAACAAACATTCCTTCCCTGGCTCTCAGTGATTGCTCTCATTTTATCCTCTCTGCTTCACAGACTGCTCCCGCTTGACAGATTTGAAGTTTTGCAACTTTCTGGTTGTTTTTCAGCCAGCACCAGTGTTTCCCCTTTCTTACTTGTTACATTTTCTCACTGGAGCCCCAAAGCCTGGGGTAGTTTTGTACTTCCAGCCATTTGCTGAGCATTTTCTCACCCATATCTCTCACAAAACTGGATTAAAAAGTTCTTACTTTTTAGATCCAGATGTGATAGCTAAATGCAGGTGGTAATTCAGCTTTTACACTCCTCCCTTACAGTTTAAGCAGCTCAGCTGAGTCAGGAAACAGATTTCATAACTCAGTGTTGTAGACTTACTGCCTAGTTTTCTAATAAAGCCAGTTGAGGAAGATTGCTTCTCATATTTTCCAAGATCATTTAGAGTCATTAACTGTTCCACAAGGGAGGTGTCTGTCTGCAAGCCAGCAGTAGGGGTAGAAGACCAGCTATTACTAATGTTCAGCACTTCAGCCAAATCAGGATTTTGAAAGGGCTTTAAAAAGTATTATTATCATCATAGCCTGGATACTCTTACCTAAGGAGGATCTGGTAAAAAATGAAGGTGAGCAGACCACCAAATTACCCACTGAGTAGCCCAAGCTTCCTGCAGTATGAGCAGAATGCAGTCTGAAATCATTTGGCTTGGCAGGCCTGTGAAACTTAATCAACTGTTCCATTAATTGCCTTGTCACTTTTTGAACCACAAGGATATGGTGCTCTGTAGTTGCTGTTTCTGCAGACAGCAGGAATCCAGTACTAATGTCAAACCTGTAGCTTGGACAAAAACGAGGGACACTTGGGTGGAGCACAGCAAGAAACAAAGTCTGCGCTGTCCAAAGGTAGACCAGAGATGGATCAGATTTTCTCAGAGGTAGTAGGTCCAGCCCCTGCAAATTAAGGTTGAAAAAGCCTTTTGATTTAGAGTGAGAAAAGGAGCCATGGTCAGCAAGGCTCTATCTCCGAACCCCCTATGGGGTAATAAATCCTCTTATCCCACAGAGGTTAAAAAAAATGAAGTCCCTCACTTTATTAGTGATTTTTGTAGGCAGCAGTTTGGGCTCTTTTTTGCTCAGGGAATGCTGTGGTTCATGACTATCTAGCTGTCAGTCCCCTTTCCAGAGAGAGCACGCTGCAATCTCATTTATTCTCAGCTTCTGGAGAGCATGTTTCTGTTCTAAACATCTTTGAGAACACTGGGAAGCACCTGTTGAGTAATGGGAAAAAAAACATGTGCAGACACACCCTGGCCAAGTGGAGGTCCATGCTGATGGCCTTGGCCTGGTTCACTACCTCCCTCAGGCCCCTGGATGTCCTTTCTTCTGAATGAATTGTTCAAAATGCTGTCTGTAATCAGCTTAGCAGTGTTCTGCCTGCTCCACACTCGCAGCAGTTTCCATCCACAGCCACACTGCAGATTCCTTGCCCCTCGCTGTGCAGTATCAGAGCTATCGGCTTCTTGCTGCTCTAAATAGCTCCCGTGCCTCACGTTTGAGTGGCTCTCCTGCTCCCAGCTGACATTCCCAGCCCACAGAAACCTGAACGTTCCTGCTCGGCTCCTCAGCTCGGGAAACCTAGAAATAACATGCTGTTTTACTGACTTATCCCTCTGCAAGTTTTGACTTGTGTTTCTTCTGGAGAAAGTAAAAACAGGAGGAAACCCCTGCATGTACAACACTAAAATTCAACAATACACGAGTGAGCTTTTTAGCTGCTTCACAGGCTCATTTGTCACCATGAGTCCCCAGGATAGTTGTTGCCTTGCGTAAGAGGAGCCAGGATCATTTGGCTGCAGACTTAGAAAGGTGGCTCTAATTTCAACTAAAAATACATTTGCATTCTTTCTGCCTTATTCTTAACCACAGAGCTCCCCTCTCACAGTGGCACAACCCTTATGCACGACTTTCCCCTGTCCAGACTTTCTTTACTCAACACTCCTCCTAAACAGGACACAACCCTGTTTGCCTCTTTCCCAGCTCCCACTTTCAAGCCCCATGTTTCTCCCAGCTGAAAGTGATACAGATTTAAGGCCCCAAAACCATCCAAAACTTAATTGATTTTTCCTTGTTTAGGCAAAGACAGAAAATGTTTCTGAACTTCAGGGTTGTATTATATAAAATACATCAGTAAGATGTTATATTAAAATAAGGTCATGAAAGTACAGTTTCATTCCATTTGCACTAAAATTGATGAATTTTTTGCAATTCTTGTTTGACCAAGACAAGTTTCTTTCTCAGAAGTATTTCATTACATAAAATACTGAAGTACATTGTATTGAATCACACTAATTACAATGGCTGGTGCCAAATTAAAAACCAAATGTGCAGTGGGATTTTGGTGATGTGAGTTAAAACAGAATTGGGTTTAAAATCTGTTAAGATTTTACTGAGCAATCACCCTTCTCACAGAGGGAAGATCAGGTGCCAAAGCTGAGGGTCCTCAGCAGTACTAGTGCTGATGGTTTTACTTGCTTCCTTACCCATTTGGATGCTTAAAAAGACACAGATTTGGGACTGGCTTTGCCACCCTAAAACCCCATCCCCTGGGCATGGCTCCCCAAAGCTCGCAGGTGACCAGGAAGCGAAGGTCAGATGTGTGCCAAGCTCTCTCTCTTATGGATATCCCTTCTCCTAAGGCTGTGCATCAACAGAGCTGCTCGCAAGTGCTTTGGAGGGGAAACTGAGAAGTGTTTGCAGTTAGCAATTAGCACACATTGCAAATGAGACTGTAAACAGGTTATCTGGTAATTAGCAGCTGCAGTCCATTTTCCCCATCCTAACACAGTCTCACTTCTTTTTCAATCTGTGTCCCAGAAACCATCAAAGTGATACTTCTGTGAGCTGTCATTACTGATAAACAAACAAACAAAAAGCAATAATCATGATCTTCTTGAGAAATTTCTTCATGTTTCACATCTCCTCGGCAGACATACTGGGGATCAGTTCTTTAAATTAAAAATCAAAGCAAACAAAACAACCACCTTACTTTCCCCAGTGTTTGGTTTTGAAGAACTAACATAATTTGAAAAAGCTGGCTTAATGCATTTTTTTTTTAATATGAAATTTCCTTACAGAGCTTTTGCCCTGTCAGTAATTAACAGATTCAAGTAGTTTTAACTGGATGGGGTTTTTTTTCCCTTGTGTTTATTTTCTTCTATTGCTCAGCCAACTCGTAGTTGGCTGTCAATTCATTCAAGACCCTTCAGTATCTTTGCAGGCTTCTAACAAGAAAATGTGTTTTCTTCATTAATTATTCTTTAAGAAGATAATTTGGATTATTAAAGGTTCTTCAGGTCCTCTTCTCTGTGGTTTACGAGCTATTCTAGTTTCAGTCATCTGGAGAAAAATGAGGGATGTAAGTCTCCAGAAAACAATATTTATTAGTAGCTACAACAAGCCACACAAGTGATATCACTTTGAGACCAGCAGTTATACAAATTTTATGCTAAAATATCTCTGTAAATTATAAATTAAGTCCATTGGGATTTTTTAAGAATGAAAATATTTTTCCTGGAGAAAACATTAGTGGCACCGAAAGAGCTGTGCGCTGCCTCTGGGGACCCATTTTGCTAAAAGCAAAGATAGGAGGTGACCAGCTGGCTCAGAGACATCAAAAAGGCTTGGAAAATCCTATTCCTGTGTTGCTGATTTGGCAGTAGCTTGCTCACTTGAAAAGTCACGATACGATCAGGAACCTTTTCTCACTGGCCAGCCGTGACCTCAGGCAGTTTCCATTTTGCAGCTTGTTGGCAGCATTTGTAAAACTTTAATATCTGAGAGTACAGTTGCTGATACCTTGAATCAAATGCTACAGACACTGAAGAGCCTCCTGAGAGCATCATGTAAAATATGCAAAGGCATTATGTGTACATCTCTCTAAACCCAATGTGTGTACTTCATCTTGCTTTTCTTCTGCTGTAAAGTTGGTGTTCATCTGCATCATTCCATACATTATCATTATTTTTAGGGTCTGCATTTCCTTAGTTCTCAGTGTACATTACATTTCATATTAGCTGTCTCTGTTTGAGACATTATTATTTTGTGCTGACATCTCCACCACTTTGATTCGTATAATGAAATTTAGCCTTAAAGCCATTACAACAGGAGATAATTTATGAAACACTGAACAAGAAGCCCTCCCTTCCCTCAAGAGTTGACTAAGACAGGGACAAAAAGAGGAATCACGGGTGATAATTGCATTGTCTCATTCCATTTTCCTCTGAAACCTTATTACAGCTGTCCCAAGAAAATATGCATTATACAATCCAAGTAATGAAAGAGCAATTCTAAAAGCTAATTGTCTATAAAAATCTAGAGTTGATCCTTTACTCCACGAAGTAGGAAGGTGATTGCATTAGTATGCCAATTCATGGAGATCATCACTGGGTTATTATATCCAAGTTCGGAGTACCAGCTTCCCTCTCTCATAAGGTGTTGGAAGAATAAAAGCACATTAAAATATTGCAGTGAGAGCATTCTAACACAGAGATGACTTCTTATAAAAATGCATACAAGATCCAGTGGCGAAAAACTGAAGAAAAATTCCGTGGCCTGGGGCAGGAGGATTATCCTGGCACCTTCAAGCTTTAAAATCTGTTAAACTGGTAGATCAGTTAGGAAAACAATAAGAGCTCTTCAAGCACTCCTTCCAAGACACAGGAAACTAGAATGAGAAAAGGAAACATATCGAAAGTGGTTACAGACAAGTCATTTTTTGTTGCTCCATTGGCTATATTTCATGCCACAGTAGTGACCTCAGATTGCAGCACTTGGGGTTGTTGCAGAGGTCTGATTGAAGACCACACCTGGAAATGGTCTTCACTCAGCAAGTGAAAAGACAGCGAAAGAAATTGAGAACCATTGCTGTTCACCAAGGGAAATGAGGATACCAAAGATAAGGTCTGGAATGCTTTCTGACTGAAATTTAACCCTGTGAAAGAAAATGCATCAACTCTGCTTGTGAGGGGATGAAGAAAAGCCTAAGCAAGGAACATGAAACAATATCTCAAATTATCCATTATTTCCACAGATTTGGGGTATGGGGTTTTGTTGGTGTTTTTTTTTTCCAGAAGAAATCATTAAGAGACTAAATTTGGACTCCAACCTGCCACTTATCACTGCCTCTCCTACTACCAAGGCCCCAAGCTGATGGTACAACAGAAAGAGACTGACAGCCAAAATGGAATTCAGCTGACACCAACATATCTCTGCTGAGAGGTATCACATGAATGTCTTGGTGCAGACCAGCAGTACAGACCCTTAACAGTGACATTTCTATATAGACAATGTTTAAAAGGCCAGGAACAATGCACACAAATGCAGTACCATATTTTATAGCAGAAAGAACTAACCAGGCTCATCTAATGAAAAAAACAACCCTAAAATCAGCATTACATACATCCTAGTAGACAATGCCATAATTATTCATCTTTACAAGTGAAACTATGGACTGATAAGTATAATCTGTTAGCCTGAAATTCAACTCTGTTTAGTGCTGAGGTAGAAGAGTTTCAATAAATGTAGATGTATGTGAGAAAATGGTATCTGGAAATTTATATTACTTGAAGATAGATCATTAGGTATATGCAAATCATTGTATATCAAATAGAAGTTACAGATTATTATTTTTTTTCCAGAAGAAAAGAAAAATCAGGAAACAGATACAGTAATATTTTCACAGTGATTTAGTGAAATCCTGCTGCCCAGGCAGGTCACGTAACCCTAACAGACCTAAAATGCAGTCACAGTGTAAAGAGTACAAAAGTTAGAGATAACGGAAGATAGCTAAAGGATGTTGCACTGCTAAAGTGTTATGCATGGTTTAAAAAGAAACACACAAACACCTGATTGTCTTTTCTGTATTTTATTTTCTCAGGAATATCCTGAGCATAAGGGCAAGTGATCTTTTTATGCAAGACAATAGCATGTCTCCTAGTAGCCTGAAGAACTGAACAAGTCATACTCACAAAAATGACAAAAAAACCAGTGATGCTAGGTTTTGATCCAAATTTGTTCTGACTAGTAGTAGGATTTTGATCCTGTGCCTTTAAAAACTGGCAGTTTAGCAAAAAATGTCAAGCTGCATAATTTCCCACTGGCGAGAAAAATACTGCTGATGATCTCTCCAGTGAAACCAAGCAAAAAACTTTATCTCATGCAAACAGTAAGTTCTGTGGGATTGGTTGGTTGGATTTTTTTTCTCTGTGTTATATAATAAGAAATCAGGTGCATTCTTCACTTTTCATTGAAAGCCAAACTGCACTATGACATTGGGAAATCCTGATTCCTTTTACAACTGCTGATTTTTGAGAGCTCCACCCCCCAATCTTGTTTATAGGATTGAACATTAATCTATAAAAAAGGCCTAGAATTTGATTACTACTCTCTCAATACAGATTAATTAATCTGCAGATTCTGCTACGTAAGACCCCTGAACTCACCCCTCAAGCAGGGATGATGATCAATGAAAAAAACCTGGTGTATTTGTCCTGGACTTTCCAGGTTGTACCACCCAAACAGAGCCCAGGTGTGATGAGGGAGCCGGGGTGAGGGTTTCTCCCAGGCAGCTGGAACTCCATTTGCACAATATTTGAAAGTTGAAGCTTCACAATGTCTTTATGAGCGCTGAGATGCTGAAGTCCTTCCTCCCATCAGAAACTGGGAAATAGGACTACACTCTCTTTTCCCTCCACTACCCCCTAAAAAACAAAATCTGCCTTTTTTTTTTTTTTTGCCATAACAAGACCACATGTTGTTCACAATGGCAGAACCCAAAGTCAAGCACATGGAATTATGTAGAGAACTGAGAAGCCTCTCTACGCTGCTGCTATTATGGGGTAATTTTTAGTCACTTACTTGGAAGAAGGGCTGGTTTTAACTCTTCCCTTTCCTGTCCTCTCCTGTGTTCTCTCTCCTTCGTCCATTACCAGAGGGACCTTCCTGGTTCTGCCATTTCTTAAAAACCCAGTTCACTGATGAGAAGTTTCAAGTACAGCTTGGCAAATCCAGAGGATGCTGGGGGAAGCAGCTGATACAATTCACATGTTCACTCATCTGCTGCATATGGAATATAAGGAAGAGGAGTCCAACAAAAGGTAGTTTCTAAAGAGCACACCAAAAATCACACACCAAAAATCACACACCACCCTTGTTTCCAGCTGGGGAATTGGGGAAAACTTCCTCCATTTGATGTTTGATGATGATGATAACAAACTATTACATGAGTTTGGGATCTCTGCTGCATCCACCATGATTTTAACCTCTCATCTATCATTTTTGTGTGGCCTGTCTAATGATACTGATTTTGGTGCATTATACTTATGTTTTGCAGTCCTGATGATACTTTGGTCCAGTTTCACCTGAAATCAAAAAGATTGTATTGCTGCAGTCTGTCCTTGGGAAACCACTAAGACAAGAAATGCATTTTCAGTTGCATTAGGGCTTGTGTTGGACCCCAGAGCCCAGAATGACTCTTAGGATTAGGACAAAAAATCAAGAAACTCAGTAAATACAAGTGAATTCAATTGAAAGGATGGAATACGTGCAGGGTTTCAGGTGGGTTTGCTGAGCTCTAAGTACAGTTAGAAGATGGGTAAAGAGAAGTTCACTGTGCTGTAAACAAAAAAAGATTTCTTTTTTCCTGAAGACTGAATTCACTTCTTCATAATCTGCATTTTTCAGCAAGTGAATCCGATTTTTTTTGATGTTCTTGTAAAGCCAGGAAAATGTATTAGAAATTACTAACATTTATCATGTTTCTTGGCAGAATAGTTAGATACTTTGGTTAAAAAAAAAACCCACACTGATGGTCTCTCTTGAATAAATACTTGAAATAAATACTTGAAAAGTAAATAACGGGGGCTGTTGAATGGATTAAAAATAAAAACAGAAAAAAAGATAAACAGAACGTTATTTCTGCAAGAAACCAGTGTCCAGATTTAGCCCATGCAATTTTTTTGTCAGAAGAGAGAGGCTAAAATTATCTCCAGCTAAACCAAGGCTCCCATATCCTTGTCATTTAGGAACTCTTTCAGTGACATGCAGGCAAGGACTAGAACTGACAATTATTTGCAACAGAAAAAAAAGAACAACAACACGGGGGTCAGAGGACGTGTTATTTATTGTGCCCATCTGACAGCCCAAATGCAATGAGATGAGGCAGAAGTGCCCAGGCACTGTTTACAAGAGGAATCATCTCTTGAAATAGATTTTCGTTTCCCTTTGCTCTGTCATAATTAGGAATGTCAAATTTCTTCGGGGGGAAAAAAAAAAGAAAAGAAGGTACGGAAGAAGTTTTTGCTTCTTCCTCTTTCTCAGAAAATGGAAACATGAGTAAGAATTGAAATATCTGCCTGCAAAAAAACATTTGTTTGCTCGGCCTAAAATTTATTTACATTTTTGAAAGTGTAGAGTGCACTGTATATAATCTGGTTAGTTCAAAGAAAGTATATTCAGATCTGTTAAACAAATATGAGGTCTTTACCTTTGAATGATAATAAATCTGTTATCCAATGTACTTAACACAAGATGCCCTTAAACGGGAAAAAATTAAGAAATGCTGCAGGTGGAAAGCAACAGTGTAGCTGAGCAGTGCAGGGAAAAGGTGGTACATACAAGTTTTCCATAGATTTTGGATACCGAGGCATATTGTGTTTCAGAAAACAATCTTGGAAAATGAATTTAATGTAACAACACATTTATTACAATGGGCTTAACACTGCACATGGTATAAAGGAACCACAATAAATGTGGTTCCCGAAACCCCCCGACCCAGAGCAGCAATTATTTAAAACTAAGCTGACTTTTTTATACAGCTAAGGAGCTGGTTATTTTGGGTCGATGGCTGGTTTGTTTTTCTCCTGATTTCTGCCCTTAGATACAGATGTTTCCCCCATGCTCAGGTCCTGAGGACTCCCTACAGCTGGCTGACAAAACAGGATAAAAGATGGGTCTGGGCCATGTTGTAACAAGATGTTTCTTCTCTCCTTTTTTTTTTTCGTTTCAAATTGTTTTGTGAACAGAAAATCCTAAGGACCTTTAGTTTTGGAAACATTTCTGCAACAAAATATGTTGCCTGTGTTTTAAGAGAGGTTCGGTGACTCCAACAACATCAATTCCAGCTCACAGCTGCGTTTGGATCTGGAGTCCTTGGCTCCGCATGTGTGTAAGGCTGCCAAAAGCTTAACTTCCCAGGAAAAATGGGAAGCCCTCCCTGTCTCTGCTGGCTGCTCCTGAGAAAGGGCTGTGAGTGCACCGAGTCCTTTGCTTGGGGCAATCCACAAGGCTTGGATTACATGGGAATTTATCTAACCCTGCACGTTTCATGGCTCAGTGAGCAAATCTGGGAACACACTGATGTTTTAAATTAAATTTTGCTTCTGATGTGCCAAATCGACCACCTGGGTAGATTCCTGAATCTGCATGTCTGGCTGTGGAGCACCACCCTCTGAGGCAGCTGAATCCCATCCATCTGCCACCCTCCAGCCCACAATTTAGCCCAGAAGTTGCGTTTTTCTTAAGTGCACCCCATCCTAGGCAGTTACCATGGCAACCCAGGGCCCGACTGTCAGACATCAATCCTGCTACAACTGTGCTGCTGTCAGGATACAGCTAAATCACTAAGGAATGGAAGACATATTTCATGGTCTTCATTGTAAGGTCTGAGGTGAATGCAGAGCTCAGGTCACACCTGCACTAACCCACCCCATTCAGAGCTGATACTCCCATATTAAATGACAATTACATTTTTTGTACCAGCCTTTTTACATTCCTGTTTTGAGAAAGAGCCCTTGGAGCACTCGGCTTTGCTATCACACAGCTCACCAGGCAGCACATCTGTGCAGCAGCAGTGCCACTGATGGCTTACCAAGGAATACACTTTTTCCCTCACCTCCAGAGGTTAATATGAAGTTGCCAGGGTAGAGGAACATCATTACAGACTGAGTCACCTCCTATTTTTAAAAGGATGATGGGATGGGGGCTTGCCTCAGACACGTTAAAGGGTCCAAACTATGGTTTTATTATTGGGCTGTTAAGGGGTGATGGGCAAATTTTTCATTCCTTCTTGCCCACTTCTTCCACCTGTTGAAAGGGAATTCTGGTGTTGGTGTCTCTCTTTGTAAACTGGATCTGACACCATTTTAAAGCTAAGCTGCATAAAAGCTAATTATTAACATCATGACCACTTACATCATCACTTAGTTGATCTCAGAGCACAGTCAGAAGAGAATGGCGGCATTTGACTCAGAGCCTCACATCTGGATGTTTGAGCATCCCCTTTGCTCTCTTTTACCAGAAAATTTAGTTATACACTTCAAAACCCTGGTGGGCACAAATCTGGGGCTCTGCTGCCAGACAGAAGAGGTTCCCAGCCTCGCTTTCCCATCTCCCCTTTCTCCAGTAATACATCCTAGTGGATGTCCCATATTTTTCAACCTGCAGTGTCACTGAGGTGCCAGCCACACTCTCATGGAAAGAAGAGCCTGTTTCTCTTGTAGATACATAGCACAGCAGTTTGTTATCCTGCATAGCTCTGCAACATGAAAATATTTTGTTGTAACAGTGTCATATGGCCATTACACAGCAGCACAGGAGGTCACATTAATCTGACAGGCAGCTTTAAATGCAGGATACCCCCTGCCATGCCGTGGGCAGGTGGCATTGGAGCTTTCCCTGCAGCCCAGCTACACTTAACAGTCTTCCCTATAGCATCCCTCTGTTTTTAGACTCCTTCAGTGAACAAAAAAAAAAATCACTGCTGCATTGAAAATTTTCCCCTTCCTTGGGTCTGGTTCATCTTTAATTTACCCTCACCTTGCTTGCTTTCAGCTGCTCTCTGCTTTCCAGGGAATGAACACGCAGGGGGAAGTGGAGTCCTTTCTTCTCCTGCTCCTCCTGTCTGCTCTCTGCCTGTCCACTGTCAGTCCAAAAGGCCAGGGGTCCAGCTACCCCTGCATCTCAGGCTCACTCTCACACTTTTGAGTCACTACTCTGAACTACTTGATAGAATGCCAGCAAACAGAATGCCAGAGGGGAAAGATAGTGTGAGAAGTGGGGTGAGAGAAATTAAATTATGAATCTCATTCAGTTTCTCATTTTTGCATCTTTTGCCCAGCTCTCCTCCGTAAGAGTATGTAACAGACCAAATTTAGAGCCTCCAGATTGCAATCAAATCCATTCAGCACAGGGATGTGAAATTCCTTTGGTGTGAGTGAGGCTGAATTCCTGAGGCATCACATGGATTTTCAGAGTGGTGGGGGAAGGCGTGCGACTGTCACCCTCGGTGGCACCCACGGACCCGGAGCGGGCACACGTGGCCTGGCTGTGGCTGTGAGGGAGTGAGGGGCTGGGAATTGCTCCTACCACGGTGAGGGGGTGTTGGTGGAGGTGACGACTGGAACTCTGTGGCTGTGTGAGAGTCTCCCTGCTCTTGGACTGAGCAAGAGCTGCTGCCACAGGGAGAGTCACACTCTTCACAGTACTCACTGCACAGCAACGGTAGCAGGTGCACAATATAATTATATTTTTGAAGAGAGAAAATTCACTTGAGAAAAATTGGAAAGAAGTTCGAAGTCTTGTATGTAACATCCTTGAGCCTGTAAAGCTTCTGTAGTGCAACCAACATCCAAGCCAAATGGCTTTGTCACAGTGCCTAACTTTATTTTAAAAGCCATATTAATTTAAAGATTTACAGAACCCTTCTTTACTCTCTGTAATCCTGGGTCAAATAACCATGAATTATTTTAAAGTGCAGTATTTTCCCTTTGAAATGTTCATGAAATTAAACAGATAATGGTCCCAGACATGTTTTTTCCATGAGCAGAAGTGGTGCATGGATCATCCTATGCCCTCAGAGCCGGCTACTGACAACCATGACAACTTTAAGTCAGCAAGAATTGAAGTGAGATCACCAACTCACCTTGCACCTACTACCTAAGGGTCATCACACTCTGAGGAACAGAAATCCCACCTGGCAGCTTGGCAAGTGTGACATTCAACCCACCATTAAAAGTACCTTCTATTAATTATCATTTCTTTAGATGATTTAACAGTTACAGGTTCATTTTTAATGTATGTAGTTTTTAACCAAAATCCTTTAGGTTTGCAAGGGGATCCAGGACAATAATGAAGACTAGATATGCAAGAAATATTACATAAAAGATAGATAAGGAACATCAGATAGATAAGGAACTGGTGAATCCTGCTCAGTGATGTATCTACCCCTGGAAATAAGTGAGAGCCAGAGAACAAAAAGGCCAATTAACAATTATTATTATTATAGAACACGAAGCAGCTCTATTCAGTTAGAAACAAATGGCCAAGTAACTACTAGAAGATTTGTCTACCATAGCTGGTTTCAAAGATGCAGAGTGGGGCCAGAACTCTTTGTCACGGGGCTGTGGCACTGCCATGGCTGCCCCAGATCAAGTTTGCTGGTGTCTCATCAGAGCAGGAGGGTCCTGGCAAGGGCTGGGGCACAGCACTGTCTGCTGCTGCTAAAAATTCACCACTGCAACTCCTCATCTTTTTGACACAAGCTTCACCATCCACGTTTGAGGTGTTGCTTAGGAAAGGAGTCTTCAGGGTCACTAGGAGACAGGAGTTAGGGAGCTGAGGGTTCTGAGGCCACTGGGGGTAAAGAAGCCAGAAAGATTTTGGGGGTTGCCTCCTTGGCTAGGCAAAAGCAGAGCCCATTTGCCCCTGATCCCTTCAACTCCCTCCCAGCTCTCCTTCTTTCACTACTCACCGGGAATAAAAATAGTGGCTACGGGTGGCCAGATTGCCTGGGGCAGGTCAGGAAGGAGAAAATACTGGGAATGGGGTCTGAGCATGGAGTCATCCCACAGAGAAGAAGATCTACAGTGCTGTTTGTTAACAGCTGCAGATCCCCTGGGATTTGTTTTCCAATTAGTAACAAAGCACATTAACAAAGTCTATTTAGAAGGTTTTACACTTGAGTGAGATTTTCCTAAATTAGTAGCCATCAGTTCTTATTCGGAGAGTGAATCTGTCAAATTCCATGGTTTATACCAGTGTACAGCCCTCCTCCTGCAAAAAAAAAGGGCAGTGAGTCACAATCAGAAAAAAAGGAACTTGCTTTAAGAGTAGCATATCCCTGTTTTTCCTATCAAAACACTTTGTTGTGTCTTTCTGTAGTTTTAGTAGTTGCAGTTTTTTGGACTTCAGTAATGGGAAATTATTCTAGAGGGGAACCTTAACAGAAAGTTCTTAAAAGGCACTGAGAAGGTAGATGGTACCTTTTCATCAAAAGAACAAACCAACTGCAAATAAGAAATGGAACATTTAAACCTAAGGAAAATAAATGTCTATTACCCTAAACAACTCGGTCTCAATAGTAGAGTGTCGCTGAGAAGGCAAACTGGATGCTCACACAGATAACATGCATTTGTGCATGTTACAATTAATGAAAATAGCTTAAAATTGATTTCACCCCACATTTCAAAGACTAAATCAATCTCTGTTTAGGCAGAGCAGATGACCTCAGACCTGCCTCTGTGTCATGTCCTGCACTTCAACTGAGGATTTAGAGTTGGCCTCTTGTAGGGGTGTGTGACTGGGGACCAGGAGGAATATGGGCTTTGACCCAACTGGTGCTAATTGCACCTCAATTTTTCAACAGTGTTGCCAGGTCTGGCCCATGAAACAGTGCTGTGTGGAGTATCCCTAAGGATTATCAGTGATGGCCTTAGCAATAGGCCCGAGCCTCAGGGACTGAACCTGGCTCATAACCTTTCCATAAAAAAAAATGCCTGTAGACATGGCCACTCAGCTCTCCAAGGCAGCACCTCTGAGTGTGTGTGTCTATCCATCCATCCATCCATCCATCCATCCATCCCTTACACACAAGCACACAGACTCAAGAGTTATTTTGCTGGTCCAAGGAGAGTGAAACCTCTACTGAACATTTACTTGTGGAATTTCTTCCTCGAAAATATCATCTGGGATGTTCTCAGAGACCTGAAGGTGTACACAACAGTTCACTGCAATGTTTATCTACTGATTAGGTGGGAAAAATTCACAATAAAAGTGATGCAGGATGCCATTAATGAAACTTGTCCTCCTGCCATCAGGGGAAGGCACGAAGAACTGAACCTAAGAGCGATTTGAACAACCTCAGAATCTTCTACACTTAAAAAAGATATTGTGTCCTACAGGGAACACCAGTTTATTTACCAGGAACTGTAGCAACACATCAAAGAAGTTGTTTTTGGTCTTTGCAATGGCCTTAAGGAATATCTGTTCTAGGAGTGAGCTCAGTGACACCTGATCCCTCACTCTTCCCAGGATTTAAGCACTGACAGCAGGCTGTGGCAGGACACAAGGACCAGCTTTAGCATATCTTCAGTCCACAAAGCAGGAAGAGAAGGTGTTCCCTGTGCTCTTATCACCACCCTGTCCATCAAATTTTGGCTGTTATTAGAAGGTAAAGGGTTTGGATAGGTCTTTTAGCTTCCACCCAAATCACCTGGTCATTTGATGCTTAGCAGGAGTATTATGGTCTACAGGTGCAGCAGGAATGGTGGCACTAGAGGGAGCTATGGCAGCATCACCCACCTCCAAGCCCCCCAGTCTGGAACCAGACCCAGATCACAAGATTTGCCTCTAAAATTGTGAGGGTTTGGACTGTCTGGTGGTTTATTCCTTATATTACCTTCTGTGCACATTTGAATAACATTTTCAAATGGCTTTTTGCTGCTACAAACTCTGGAATTACCAGCATCCCCCCTGTTCCTGCCAACAGCTCCTATGATTGCATGGTTCTAGGAACTCAGATTTAGCCCACCAACTAAATGTTTATGAAAAAAAAAATAACCCAAACACTATGGATATCTTAGTTTTCAAAAAACTACTTGAAAGCTTCACTGAAGTTTAAGAAATCTTCCAAGTATTCAACTTTTTTCCCTTATTGAGATTCAACCCTCCTTTTAATCAGTAAACCCACAGCTAAGCATTGCAAATTAAAGTTAATATTTAGCCTTTGAATAAATAAGAGACATTTTGGGAATAATGTGCTTATTGGGGAACTCTGAAAAAAAAAAAAGACGTACAAAATTATTGCTTTTGTTTTATATTCTATGATCTTCACTGGCAATTGCTGTGACTAAAACTAAAGTGGCAGAAGCAGCTTTGTTATTTTTAGAAAGACATCCGCAGTGATTTATTAAACCTCTCTAGGGAAGACAAAAGGTATCCTCTCCAGATACTTACTTCAGGAAGAATTTATTTTCAAGGCAAAAGTTAATAATTTCTAAATGAGAACAGTCAGGCTTCTGTTGAAACACCACAGTCACTCTTTTTGAAAGCAAATACATCTCAAATATCATCTATAGAGGACCTAAGAACTGCAGCAAACACTGTGCTATTGGATTTAATTCACAGAACTGCTCAGAGGGCCCAACAGGGGAAGAGGTCCCCCTTTGCCACACAGAAACATGGCTTTATTCCTCTTACTGATAACAGATAAAGTGGAGCAGACAATCCTACCTTAAGTATATACTAAGTATCCCATATGTATTTATCATATAGTTCTTTTAAGTCTAATAAGAGGAGAACTCCCATTATAAAAATTCAAGGCTAATTTACATGTGGTATTAAAAATATTGCTCAGTGCAGTGAGCCAAACCTCAGCAAGATTCGAATAATTCTAGACCACTGTGTTCCCCCTGTTCCCAAATAGATGTACCACAAAATCATAAAATATCTTTAATTTCTTGCTGCTCTAAAAATGCTTGCCCAAAATGTTATGCCATGAGGAAAAACAAAAGTTTTGCTCCCTTCTCCAACAAAAGGGCCACTTACTCCATCAGAAAAGACAGATATCAGCTGTTATTTTCACTCCATTTCCCTAACAAACAAGCAACTTACTTTGACTTCTTCTCCCTTGTTCACATTAGATCTGTTCTCAAACACCAGATTTCCATCCTCTGGTGCAGTGACTTCCTCTGGGTGCGAAGTTCCCTGTTTTCCACAGGGCTCCAGTGTTTTTAGACAGCCTTCTTCTCAGCACCCCCTGCCTCCAAAAACTTCTTTTCCCAACAGTTCTCTTCTACTTTTCTAAATTTTCTTCACTGGATCACTTTCAAGGCTTCTATACTTTGCTCTCCCTCAGTAATTTCTTATCTTCTCCTTTAAAATAACAAACAAACAAACCCACCCACTCACCCTCGTCCATCTCCTCACACTTTTCCTCTCCCCTCATGTTATTCTTCCCTTGCCCAAGTATCTACACTGTTGCTGGTGGCTGAGTTCCATGTTAATTCTCACTTCTCCTCCCTCACAAATT